GGTGAGCAGGGTTCAGCAGAGCTTCCAGACTACGAAGAAGGAACAGACTGTCCACTTCTGGGGAACTTGCCGTTGAAAGCTTTATGAAGGACATGACAACCTGACAGGGCCCAGCAATTCCATTCCTAGCCCCGTTGCCAAAAGAAAGGACAACATAGCCACACACAAACCGGTCCTTACGCGAATGTTCATGATTCGCGGTGTCAAAGAAAAGAAAACTCACTGCCAACAAGTGGATCCCAACTCACAGCGGCCCAGTGGGACAGGGCAGAACTGCCTCTGTGGGCTTCCAAGATTGTAGCTCTTCCCGGGAGGAGAGAGCCTCGTTTTACTCCCAAGCACCGGCTAGTGGGTTTGAACTGCTGACCTTGTGGTTAGCAGCCTGGTTTGGAACCCCTACGCCTCCAGGGCTCCTTCCAGTGGATCAGAGACTCCAGTGTGAAGACAGTTCGGAGAGAGGGCTGGCTCCCCCAGGACAGTTGGGCAGTGTGCGTGGCCTCTGCTCTCCTCTCTTCCTTCCAGGCTTATGTCCTGGAAACTGCGCAGGCAGAAGCTGTTTTTTGTGCAGCCTCGCTTATAACAGGGAAGAGCTGGACCTAGCCGGGCACTCATCAGCAGGGGAGAAGACTAATCAAACGTGCATATGCCTTCTAATGGAGTCATGCCGAGAAATGACTACATTAGAACTCGGCGAATTACATGGACAGCCCTCGGAAACCATGCTGCCCCGAGAAAAGCCAAGTGCGGTGTGAGGCTGTTTCTGAGGCCGCCCAGAGCAATCCCTGGGGGGGAGGGGGGGGTGTCTCTGGGGAGGGGGGGGCACAGACTGGAGGGTGGAACAAAGGAGCTGTCCCTGTTACCTGCAAGGCTAGGTTTCTCTGACAAAGGGCAAGCCCAGATGGTGTGGGAAATTTAAATCAGGCTCCATGCCCACCTGCCAGGTTGACCGGAAGTCCAGGGGATCCAAGAGCCAGGGGTCATACCTGGGGCTGCAGACAAGCCAGGCAGCTTCCTCCCACCACCACTATCCGAGGCAGAGGGCCGGTGGCTGTCGCTTGTGGCTGTCCAGGGACTCTGACTCTCACCGCCTATGTCTTCCTGCCCCGATCCAGCTTCATGGCAGTTGCCGTGTTGGACCCCATGGTTGTGGCTGTGGCCTCAGGCCACCTCGTGGGGGGTTCCCCCTTGGTGGACCCTCCATTGACCACGAGCGGTTGCTGTTTCCTGATGATGAGTCCAAAGTGGGAGATGTAGAAGGCCCCCCACCCACGAGTCTAAGGGGCACGTTGGTTGTGTGGGTTCTAACAAGGACTGATGGCTCACTCAGTCTCGTGGTGGTGGTGGTGTGGTGGTGTGGTTGTGGTCGGGGGCCGTCCAGTCAGTTCTAACAGAGACCTGTGCACAACAGCATGAGACCGCCGCCCAGCCTTGCGCCAGCCTCCCTGGTGTTCTTATGTCTGAGCACGTGGGCAGCCACCCATCATGTTAAGGGTCTTGCTTCTTCCTTCCTTCCCGTAGGACCCAGCAGTTCCTAACTATATGGCCAAGAGAAAGGAACATGTGTGTACACACACACACACACACACACACACACACACACACAGGAATACCTGTGCTCAATAAGGGCCGTGGGGACCCCTGAGCCTCTTTGCTCCCCCAAAGACTTACAGCTTCAGAAGCCTTGAGATGGAATGGACTCAGAGGCCGTGGGTAACGTTTACTAATTAATTACGATTTATTAAGTCATTAAAGTGCTGGAGGGCAAGGATGTGACCTTGAGGACTAACGTGTGCCTAACTCAAGCCATGGTATCTTCACTAGCCTGGCGTTAGGCATGAAGACCGAAGGACCATCCAGGTGTCTGAACTGCGGTGCCGGTGAAGAATGTCGAAAGGACCGTGGGCTGCCTGATGAACACACAAATCTGTCTTGGAAGAAGTACAACTAGAGTGCTCCTGAAAGGCAGGGTGGCGAGACATCATTCCATGGACTTGGCACGTGTTGTCAGGAGAGACCAGTCCCTGGAGAAGGACGTCATACTGGGTAAAGGGGAGGGGCAGCAAAAAAGAGGAAGATCCTCAACCAGGTGCACTGACCCAGTGGCTGCCACCATGGGCTCACACAGCAGATTGGCGAGGAGGATGGCACGGACCCAGGCAGGGCTTTGTTCTGTGGTGCACAGGGTCACTGAGTCCGAACCAGCTGGACGGCCCCGGATAGCGGCCTGGATCCTGCTGTGCTGCGGCCCCTTGTAGCTTTCCCTGTAGCCCTTCCAATTCTACCTCCTTTGTGCATGGGGACACGCCAGAAACCACCTCCTCCCTTCCCCAGCAGTTCGTCTGGACTCTCCCGGGACCC